TGTTAGAACTCGATAATTATTCTAATTATATTTTAGATTTTTTATATTTTAAAATGAGATGTTTATCCTTTATTTGATTACGTTTATCTACAGTTAGTTATACGAATTCAAACATCGAGCTTTAATAAGTTGTATTTATGCATATTTTACTTGTAATTTTGAATTTTAAGTAATATGCATCAATATATAGTACTTTATGCATAAAAATGATTTTTAAGAGTTCTTGTCAAATGTTTTATAATATAGTATATATATATATATATATATATATAATTTCCTCTTTTGGAAAGAAAATGAAGAAAGTTGGTGAGTTTTTTGGTGTGTAATCTGGTTCGAAGAAAAACAGAAGGAAGATGAGATAGATTTTGTGCTATTAACTGAAATTGTTACTGTTAAAGTTTTCATCTTTTTTATCATAAGGTGAATATTATTTTAAAAGCATCAATTGATTGGCTTTTTGGTGAAAAAACTATATGGTTTCATTTTTGAGATTTGAAGGTGTTTAGATGCTCATTATTAGCATAATGTTGGGTTTTGATACGTTATTATCTTCTGTTTGTAATAAGGGTGGTATAATTAGGAGTTAGATATATTTGGTAATAAGGGTGTTATAATCAAAAGTTGGGTATATTTGGTAATAAGGGTGGCATAATCAGGAGTTGGGTATAATTTTGTAATAAGGGTGACATAATCAGAAGTTGTGTATATCGGTATAAGGGTAGCATAATCAATTTTAGGAAATGATGATTTTTGATCATGGATTATTGTTATCGCATCAAAGTGATGCGAGGAATCGGTTATATCGCATCAGTGTGTTGCGATGAATTGTGAATATCATATCTTTGTGGTGCGACATGATGAGTTTATCGCATTTATATGGTACGACAAGTTACTGTTATCGTATCAGTGTGGTGCGACAAAGGGAAGTTATCGCATGTGTTTGATGCGATGAGTTGATTTATCGCATCATTGAGATGCAACAAGTGGATTTAGCGCATTAGTTGGGTGCGACAAAATATGCACATTTATATGTTTAATGCGATAAGTTGATGTATTATGAGTTTGATGCAACAAAGTGTTTATTATATTGTTCAATGCGATAAAATGGAGTTATCTCATCTTTTGATGCGACAATAGAAGGTTTGTTAAACTAAATTTTATTTTATGATATCTTTAATGAAGGATTTTCCAAAAAGATGTTATGGTGATTTTCACCTTGTAATGACAATCAAAGGGATTTCTCACTCGATCTTAAGGTCTAACCCTTATTTCTATTTTAAAATATACATTACAAGGGAAGAACAAGTTGTGAAGAATTTATATTTGCTTACTTGGGAAGCTGTGTTATCTTTTGTATTTGATTACTTGTTATGAGTACAAGTTTTGTACTAAGATGCGTGGAAAAATTTGGCAGCTACTTTAGTATTGTAGCTTCTGTATATATTTGGGGCCGAATGTGTAAAGTTATATTTCTTAATAATTAGAAATATATGTTTATATGTAAATGTGACCTTGAGGTGTTACAAAATCCTTCTACAAAATTCAAATCCTTCAAAACCTTTAATGAAACCACCTCTCATGTAAATTATTTGCTTAAATTCATACTATAATATTTATAAAAATTACCGTAATTTAAACAAACAAATAATACAATTTACAAATGAATTAAATATTGTTTAATATGATTTAATACCAAATAATATACTAATTAAATAATTATTATAAAGTAAAATAAATTAATCAAATAAAAATTTATTTTAATTTAGAAAATGTTTTTTATTTAATAAATAAATGTTTATAATTATGCAGTAAAAATTAGATTGTACGAATATCAACTTCAAAAACTTTTAAACTAATAATGATGTAATTTTGTTTGTGTTAAGTTTGTATTTTTTATGTAACAAATTTTATCACAGAGTAAATTACATTTTTGGTCCTTATGCTTGTCATTCATTATCAAGTTTGATCCTTTTTTACATTTTTGGTCATTGTAGTTGTCATTTTGTTTCATTTTTCCTCCATATGTGACTAACTCTAGTT